AAAAAAAAAAAAAAAAAAATTATTATTAATGAGAACACATGGACACAGGGAGGGGAATGTCAGACATCGGGGCCTGCTAGTAGGTGGGGGCTAGGGGAGGGATAGTATTAGGAGAAATACCTAATGTAGATGACAGGTTGATGGGTGCAGCAAACCACCATGGCATGTGTATACCTATGTAACAAACCTGCATGTTCTGCACATGTATCCCAGAATTTAAAGTATAATAAAATTATTATCTTAATCTATAGGAATTAAAAGTATATAAGCTGGGCGCGGTGGTTCACGCCTGTAATCCTAGCACTTTGGGAGGCTGAGGTGGGTGGATCACCTGAGGTCAGGAGTTCAAAACCAGCCTGACCATCATGGTGAAACCCCATCTTTAAAAAAAAAAAAAAAAGTATAAGTTGATCAGGGTTAATCAAAGAATTCTGTTTATAACTTGGATCTAATGATAACTGTCTTGTTTCTTAGAGTTATACAATGAGGTAAAATAAAATCATACATTCGAAACTACTACCAAGTATGGTGGCTCATGCCTGTAATCCCAGCACTTTGGGAGGCTGCGGCAGAGAGATAACTTGAGCCCAGGAGTTCGAGCCTGAGCAAGACCTTGTCTCTACACAAAAAATACAAAAAATTAGCCAGGTGTGGTGGTGTGCAGCTGTGGTCCCATCAGCTGGAGGCTGAGGTGGGAGGATCACCTGAGCCTGGGAAATCTAAGCTGTGGTGAACCTCAATCATCACGCCACTGTACTCCAGCCTGGGCAGCAGAGTGAGGTCTGTTTCAAAAAAACACACAAAAAAAGAAAGTACTTTGAAACTATACAAATATACCATACTAATTAAAAACCGAACTAGGCCAGGCACAGTGGCTCACGCCTCCTGTAATCACAGTACTTTGAGAGGCTGAGGTGGGCGGATCACCTGAGGTCAGGAGTTTGAGACCAGCCTGCCCAACATGGTGAAACCCCATCTCTACTAAAAATACAAAAATTAGATAGATGTGGTGGCGCATGCCTGTAATCCCTGCTACTCGGGAGGCTGATGCAGGAGAATGGCTTCAACCTGAGAAGTCGAGGCTGTGGTGAGCGGAAATCACGCCATTGCACTCCAGCCTGAGCAACAAGGGTGAAACTCTATCTAAAAAACAAAACACACACACACACTAATTAAAAATTAAAATCAGTTAGGGAAAGCATTTTTTTTTTTTTGAGACGGATTCTCACCCTGTCACCCAGGCTGGAGTGCAGTGGTGCGATCTCAGCTCACTGCAACCTCTTGGGTTCAAGTGATTCCCCTGCCTCGGCGTCCTGAGTAGCTGGGCTTACAGGCACATTTTGCCACGCCCTGCTTTTTTTTTTTTTTTTTTTTTTTGTATTTTTAGTAGAGATAGGGTTTCACCATGTTGGCCAGGCTGGTCTTGAACTCCTAACCTCCTAATCTGCCTGCCTCAGCCTCCCAAAGTGCTGGGATTACAGGTGTGAGCCACTGTGCCTGGCCAGGGAAAGCTTTTTAGAATAGGTTGTTGGAGCTATATTTGGAAGGAAAAATAAGGATATAAATTACTAATGTACAGAGGTAGAAGAGAGTGACCCAAGGCTGAGGACATTTCTAGGTGCCTTATGCCCGCTCAGAGGCCCACCTCACAGAGCTGCTGGAGGAGATATGTGACCGGATGAAGGAGTATGGGGAACAGATTGATCCTTCCACCCATCGCAAGAACTATGTACGTGTAGTGAGCCGGAATGGAGAATCCAGTGAACTGGACCTACAAGGCATCCGAATTGACTCAGATATCAGTGGCACCCTCAAGTTTGCGGTGAGCTATGGGAATCGGCAGCTGGTTCTTGGAATTAGGGGGTTGTTGGAGGACCAGGTAGAAAGTTAGGCCAATATCCTTGTCCTCCTCTTTGGATGTGAAGGCAAGAGGCTTCTTATTGCCCTGTGTCACCCCTTTCTCCCTTGGGTTGGCAGTGTGAGAGCATTGTGGAGGAATACGAGGATGAACTCATTGAATTCTTTTCCCGAGAGGCTGACAATGTTAAAGACAAACTTTGCAGTAAGCGAACAGGTAAGCTGCCCCCACTTTATCTCCTGTTGTAGTAGCTGTGGAACCTGACATTCCCTAACTCACCCATACACACCCCCATCCCAGAAACCTCTGGTATTAGCTCAAGAGCTGGCTTCCATTTCCCTTGGCTTAGGGACTTGGGGTGTTCCTCCCCATTTTCTGTCAGCTTTCAGAATTTGTGGCCCCTTGACCCTGAGATACAGGTGAGAGGGCAGTGGGGATGTTTACAAGCATATTTTCTGAAGAATGGTAGTTGATGTGTGTTTGTGTCAGTTTGGGAAATTTTCTTGATCCTGGCATATATCAGTATGAGAGTGGCATTTTCCGTTAAATTTTTCATACTGAGTGGCATTTTCCTTTAAATTGTTATGTGCTATTTGCAGATCTTTGTGACCATGCCCTGCACATATCGCATGATGAGCTATGAATCACACTGGAGCAGCCCACACTGGCTTGATGGATCGCCCCCAGGAGGGGAACATGGTGGCAATGCCTTTTATATATTATGTTTTTACTGAAACGAACTGAAAAAATATGAAACCAAAAGTACAAACTGTGTTGTCTTTTCATGCCCGGAATTGGCCCTTACGTTAAGCTTGAAGATAGAGGGCTATAGGCAGGAAAGAAAATGGAGGAGAAAGAAGAGTTTTGGGATTGATACAGGATAAAGGTAGGAGGGCCCTGAACCTTTAATTCTTCTGCCTTCTGAGACTCCACTCCACTCATAAACTAGATAAGCTTTCAGTCATTGCCCACTCGGTACCATGTCTAATTGTGAAGAGAGGAATCTCCATGAGGAAGCAGGGGAACATAAGTGTATGGTAGTGTAGAATTCCAGAAATTCCTTGTGTTGATGCTGTTGAAACTTAAAATAAGACAGGGCTTGGTCTTGAAGGAAATAATGGACATGCATTATTCTTCCTTCCTTGCCCATCCAGATGGAGGGACCAGCAAGAACAGAGACAGGAAGGGGAAAATGGATCTGACCAACTCAGCTGAAAAGTAAGGGCTTTATCGGATAGGGACAGATGAGGTAAGGAACATTGTTTAATGAGAGGCCTTGTTTGCTAGCCTAAGCTTTTAAATTTGATGCCAGTAGCAACAATAAAGTGTATCTTTCTTACCTCTATCACCAGCCATTGTCAATCTGGACTATAAGTCTGTCCACACTTTCTGTGTGTAGAGATTCTAGACTGGGGCATAGAGATGAAAACCTGAAGGATACCTTCTTTTGGTAAATTCTTAAACACCCTGATTCTGAGGTATGGTTGTCTCAGGGTTTCAAATGAAATATCTCTGGTCCCAGGAACACCTCAAAGAGAGAAGGCCTGAATAAACATTTTAAAGGTTTGAAAAATTACAGTATTTTAGAATCTAAAGGAACCTTAGAGGTCGTCTGTTTCACCTCTGCCCATTTTATAGATAAAGAAGCTGAGGCCCAGAGAAGCCATAGAACTCTATGAAGTTCTGTGTTTAATGAAAACTTGGTCTATAAGCTAACTTTCCCAAGTGCCGATCTGATCTGATAAAGCTATAGAGTAGCTTCTATTTTAAGACTTTTTTCTTTAATTATACCTTGCACTAAGCTTGGCACATAGAATGTAATATTCCACAAAGCTTTCTTATACCGAAAATCCCTAAAAAGTCTGACACATTAGAGCGCAGAACAAACACTCTGATATTTGTTGTCAACTAATATCAGCCTGGTGTTAATTCCATCTTCTCCCATCAGCCATGAGAAATGCTGTATTCTCTCTCAGTTTTCCAAACCAACTATTATAAACCTTATTTTTTTCTTCTATGATGCATATGAGTAATACATTTTTTCATACCCCTGAAAGTATACCCAGGGTTCTGTCCATTGCCTGCTTGGTGCCTAAAAATGCCTTTCTCTTCCATCCGAAAGCTTATCAGAAATATAAATGATATTTATATTTCATTCACTCCTCAAGCCAGGTGTGGTGGCTCACCCCTATAATCCCAGCACTTTTGGCAGGCAAAGGTGGGATGATCACTTGAATCCAGGAGTTCGAGACCAGGCTAGGCAATATAGTGAGACCCCCACCTCTACAAAAAATACAAAAATTAGCTGGCATATAATGGTGCACACTTGTGGTCCCAGTGACTCTGGAGGCTGAGATGGCAAGATCTCTTGAACCCAGGAGACAGGCTGCACTGAGCTGTGACTGAACTGCTGCACTCTAGCCTAGGCAACAGTGAGACCCTGTCTCAAATAAAATAGAGTACTCTTCTGGAAACTTAAAGCTGTTTTAATTTATAAAACAAATTATTCATAGTTTTAAATAAATCAATTTGGCCAGTCACAATGGCTCACACCTGTAATCCCAGAACTTTTGGTGGCAGAGGTGGGTAGATCATGAGATCAGGAGATAGAGACCATTCTGGCTAACACCGTGAAACCCCATCTTTACTAAAAATACAAAAAATTAGCTGGGCATGGTGGCACGCGCCTGTAAGCCCAGCTACTCGGGAGGCTGAGGCAGGAGAATTGTTTGAACCCGGGAAGCAGAGGTTGCAATGAGCTGAGATCGAGCCACTGCACTCCAGCCTGAGCTACAGAGCAAGACCCCATCTCAAAAAAATAAAATAATAAAATGAATTTAATGTTAATCAGTAACAAGTTACTTGTGATATATCTTACTGGCTTGTCAAGGTACAGCTGTTAAGAACACTCCAACCGCCGGGCGCGGTGGCTCAAGCCTGTAATCCCAGCACTTTGGGAGGCCGAGGCGGGTGGATCACGAGGTCAAGAGATCAAGACCATCCTGGTCAACATGGTGAAACCCCGTCTCTACTAAAAATACAAAAAAAAAATTAGCTGGGCATGGTGGCGCGTGCCTGTAGTCCCAGCTGCTCAGGAGGCTGAGGCAGGAGAATTGCCTGAACCCAGGAGGCGGAGGTTGCGGTGAGCCGAGATCGCGCCATTGCACTCCAGCCTGGGTAACAAGAGCGAAACTCCGTCTCAAAAAAAAAAAAAAAAAAAAAAAAAAAAAAAAAAAAAAAAAACCCAAAAAAAAAAAAAAAAAAAAAAAAAAACCCCCAACCAAAAAAAAAAAAAAAATCCGGGTGCAGTGGCTCACACCTGTAATCCTAGCACTTTGGGAGGCTGAGGTGGGTGGATCACCTGAGATCAGGAGTTCAAAACCAGCCTGGCCATCATGGTGAAACCCCATCTTAAAAAAAATAAAAAATAATTTAAAAAAAAAAAAACAACTCTCCAGCTGGAGAGACTTTGTCATTGGTACACAAGGATATGTCCTATATAGGAAAGAGTGAATGTTACCCTCTAGGCTTGATTAAGGATACACTTTGTGGGGGTTTTTTGTTTTCCTGAGGCAGAGTCTCGCTCTGTCGCCCAGGCTGAAGTGGAGTGGCACGATCTTGGGTCACTCAACCTCCGCCTCCCAGTTGAAGCAACTCTCCTGCCTCAGCCTCCCGAGTAGCTGAGATTACAGCCGTGCGCCACCATCCCTGGCTAATTTTTTAGTTTTTTTGCAGAGACAGTGTTTCACCATGTTGGCCAGGCTGGTTTCAAATTCCTGGCCTCAAGTGATCCACCTGCCTCAGGCTTCCAAAGTGCTGGGATTACAGGTATGAGCCACCATGCCCAACAGGAAGATGCACTTTGCAAACCTCTCATTTTATTAAAATTAGTATTATTATCTTATAGAGACAGGGGTCTTGCTCTGTTGCCCCGGCTGGTGTGAAATGACATGATCATAACTCATTGCAGCCTCAAACTCCTGGCCTCAAAAAATCTTCCTGCCTTGGCCTTCTGAGTTTCTAAGATTACAGGCAAGCATCACCATGCACAACTTTGCACATGTTTTAATTCATACCACAAGGAATCCATGAATTTATCTGAACCCTCTGGAGGTTTATTGTAATAAATTGTTATAGCCCACTATTTGGTAGAGCATATACTGTTAACCTGATAAATCTTATTAAACTTTAAGCTTCAGATGCCTACTAAATTAGTTTATCAGTAAAATGTTAGAACTTAAATATTTCCAAAGACAGTGTTAAATGAGGTACAGATATAACAGGAAAGTTTATTATGCAAAAATCTAGTCTTCAGAAATAAGTTTTAGGGGTCAGGTGTGGTGGCTTACGCCTGTAATCCCAGCACTTTGGGAGGCCAAGGTGGGCAGATCACAAGGTCAGGAGATCGAGACCAGCCTGGCCAGTATGGTGAAACCCAATCACTACTACAAGAAGCCAGCGTCATGGTGCGTGCCTGTAGTCCCAGCTACTCAAGAGGCTGAGGCAGGAGAAGCATTTGAACTGGGAGGCAGAGGTTGCAGTGAGTGGAGATCACGCCACTGCACTCCAGCCTGGTGAAAGAGCAAGACTCCCTCTCTAAATAAATAAATAAATAAATAAATAAGTTTTAGGGCTGGGTGAGGTGGCTGATGCATGTAATCCTCACCCTTGGGGAGGCCGAAGTGGGCAGATCAGCTGAGGCCAGGAGTTCAAGGCCAGCCTGGCCAACATGGCAAAAACCCATCTCTACCAAAAATAGAAAAATTAGCCGGACGTGGTGGCACTCCTCTGTAGTCCCAGCTACTTGGGAGGCTGAGGCAGGAGAATTGTTTGAACTCGGTTGCAGTGAGCCGAGATTGTGTCACTGGATGACAGAGTAAGACTCTCTCAAAAAAAAATACAGTGGCATGATCTTGGCTCACTGCAACCTCCGTCTTCCAGATTCAGTGATTCTCCTGCCTCAGCCTCCCAAGTAGCTGGGACTACAGGAGCCCACCACCACATCTGGCTAATTTTTATGTTTTTAGTAAAGGCAGGGTTTCACCATGTTGGCCAGACTGGTCTCAAACTTCTGACCTGAAATGATCCACCTACCTCGGCATCCCAGAGTGCTGGGATTACAGGCATGAGCCACTGTGCCTGGCCAAAAAAGAAAGTTTTATAGGATTTTTTAACTCTTAAGAAGGATTCATAGGTACAATATTCCTTTAAATATAGAATAGTGGCCAGGTACAGTGGTTCAAGCCTGTAATCCCAGCAGTTTCGGAGGCCGAGGCTGTGGATCACTTGAGCTCAGGAGTTCGAGACCAGCCTGGGCAACATGGCAAAACCCCATCTCTACAAAAAATACAAAAATTAACCAGGTAGGGCATGCCTGTAGTCCCAGCCACTCGGGAGGCTGAGATGGGAGGGCAGCTTGGGCCCAGGAGGTTGCTGTGAGCTGAGATCATGCCACTGTACTCTGTACTCTAGCCTCGGTGACAGAGCCAGACCCTGTCATAAATAAATAGGAATGAATAGCATGGGGAAGTGAAATACTGTGTGTTGAATACTCATATAACAAGCACATACACATTCTCATTTAATCTTTTTCTTTTTTTTGACACAAGGTTTTGCCCTGTTGTCCAGGCTGGAGTACAGTGGTGAGATTATGGCTCACTGCAACCTCCACCTCCCAGGCCCACACAATCCTCCCACCTGAGCCTCCTGAGTAGCTGGGACTACAGGCACAAGTCACCACACTCAACTAACTTAAAAAATTTTGGCCAGACTCGGTGGCTCACGCCTATAATCCTAGCACTTTGGGAGGCCAAGATATCGAGACCATGGTGAAACCCCGTCTCTACTAAAAAAAACACACAAAAATTAGCTAGGTGTGGTGGCACGCACCTGTGGTCCCAGCTACTCGGGAGGCTGAGGCAGGAGAATTGCTTGAACCCAGGAGGCGGAGGTTGCAGTAAGCTGGGATCTCGCCACTGCACTCCAGCCTGGAGCATGGCAACAGATCAAGACTCTGTCTCAAAAAAAAAATTTTTTTTTTCATAGAGATGGGGTCTTGGTGTTTTGCCCAGGCCAGTTTCAAACTCCTGGGCTTCAGTGATCCTGTTGACTTCCCAAAGTGCTGGGATTACAAATGTGAGCCACCTTGCCTGGCCTCATTTAATCTTTACAACTCTAAGAAATAGGTGAAGAAACTAAGCTCAGAGAGGTTAAGTGTCTTGCTAGTCATTGAGGACCCAGTCATCCTCTAATTCCTCGTCCAGTAGTCTTTCTGCTATACCTCATTCTATGTAGTGGAGTCTCCATGTGGCTGTATAAAGTAATACTTTTTAAACTGGCTTGAAA